ACAGAGGCACAGTAGCAATCCACTGATTACTCAGTTCTCTTTTGTCAGCTTCACTCATCAGAGGGAAACGACTGGGCGAGCCAAAGGCGATGATGAGAAACGACAAGGCATGATTAATAAAATGAGTGCGAACCTCGTCTGTCCTCTGAGCCGTGTCGTTGGCTGACCGAGGGCTGTTTTTAACACGACGTAAAGAGACGAAGCGGTTTTTTTCTGTTCGCAAAGCCATTTTTTGTCCAGCCCACCTCACTGTCCAACGGATTCATACGCAGCGACATGGCAAAAACTGTCGATAGGGTTTTTATCAATTCCGTATCCCCACTTTCATTTCGATCAAATCTTTTATTTCGTCGAATCACCAAGTCTATTTCAAATCTCCTGGCTCAGTGTGATGTTTCCAGCAGAGGACCACCTGGCAAGGCTTTAGCTGCTATTACTTTAGCGCTACGACGAGTTGGTGTACTTTGTTGAGCAGTAATGGGTGTAACATAATTCCGCTAAAATTAACATATTGGTACCGATCTGTGTTGCTTTAAAAGGGGAAACAAGGGAGCTATTGTTATTATCACATTCAAACTGTTCTCGGCTCATAAGCCCATCAATGGAGCGCGGTGCATCTCACGGACATATTGTTCAGGATTTCCGGGAGGGCTCCGTCGCGCAGTCGTCTGTTGAAGAATTCTCCGGAGGTTCATCAGAAACTCCGAGTGAAGTGGATCCCTGTTCTGTGAGGTATCGTAGCCCAAGCTCTCTTAGCGTGATTTCACGGGTTCCGCATAATCATCCGACAGTTTTCAGGTATTTGCATGAGCTCGTCGACGAGTTGCGCCTTTTGCGCCAGTGTTTCGCGGGCATGCCCGAGCAGCCGCAGCATGCTTTAAGACAGGTTTGCATCGAAATCGACCGCGTCTGGGCCTCCTTATGCTCTCCCGACGATAGCAGTACCCAGGACGACCTGTCATCAACCAACAGTTTTTCCAGACAGTCATCCCAGGATTCGTCTGCAACACAACCATAGCGAGAATTACTGCTCTGTTTCATTTCTCGACGATGTTACATTGTTCTTTTCTTGTTTTATTAACATTGTACCGCACGTGTTTCTTTTGTAGCTTGTCATTAACTGAAGAAGTAATGCTTCATTAGAGCTTTTTTGGCTATTCAGAGAAGTCTTTTAGGAGCTGCAGTCGCTAATCTTACAGAACAACCATATCACTGTCGTACTTATTCTTTATTACTGCACATATATCAGGCCAACCAACCCGTCTGCAATTCGTTTATTCGTTTCGATAGTGAACTGATACTGTGCATGCTAGG